TCGGTTAAATGACCACTTTGGAGGGGAAATCAAGTTTCCCCGGGATGGTCCCGTCTCCCCCATCTTGCGGAGCCGCTTCTTCTTGCGCTCCCCCTCGGGCTGCGACGTCGGCGCGGCCCCCTCCGGGCGCCGACTGCTGGCACGCGCCGCCCCGCCCCCTCGGGGAGGAGATGTGGGAGGTGTTCCTCCCAGCTTCCTCTTCCCCTGGGCGTCGGCAGGGCGGCTGCTCCCCGAGCCCCCGACGCGGGGCCCAGAAGCACGACCCCCTCCTGGGGCAGGTTGTTCCCCCCGGCGGCGCTCGCCCGCGCCGTCGTGGCCCTTAGGGGCTCTCTCCTCTGAGGCCCCGACCCCCATCATGATGGTTAGAATGGAGACGCGGTCGGGATCGGTGCAGAGGGGGAGGATCTCCTGAGGAAGGCGAGACGCCTCCGCGGAGCTAAGATTCAGCACCCTTTGGACCACGATCTTGAAGTCCTCGGGAGCCCAATCCCATCTGGCTCCCTGGTGGGTCCGCATGTAGTCTTCAGGCCCAGTGTACTCCCAGGCGCTCCGGGCGCGCCGTTGGAGCGGCGCAATCCGGCGACGGAGGTAATCGCCGAACACCATAGCCCCGGTGAGCCCCTGGGATCGCAGGCCCGCCAGGCGGTCGAGGACGGCGTCGTACTCCTCCCCCAGATCTACCGGCGCCCGCCAGCTGGAGACCTGCGCCGGGGGCTGGCTTGGAAGTCGGAGGCGCGCTTCGTCGGCGAGGGGGGTGTAGAACCAGTCGCTCTTCCAGTCGTCCCACTTCTTGCGGAGGACGCAGGGGATGTAGCGGTTCAACACCGGCCCCCGCGGCTGGAAGTAGCAGCCGCCAACCACCGACGGCGGTGACACCGACTGCACGGTGAAGAACCACCGGAACAGCTGAAGAGAGGGGCGCACCCCAATGAACATCTCGCACAGGTGCGCGAAGATGGCCAATGTCATCACCGCATTGGGGGTGAGGTGCGCCATCTGGAGATCGTAGAACTCCAGGACATCCATGAAGAAATGAGAAAATGGCGGGACCAGCCCAGCCATTGCGAAGGGGAGGAAGAAGATGGACCGCCCCGGGTAGTCTGGTGCCGGGCGCCCCTCGCCCAGCATCACTATCTCCCGACCGGTGGCGGACTCCGGCATGAAGCGGCGCGGCAGTCCGGCGTGCCTCTCGTTCACGATGCGGGAAGGCGGCAGTACACTGCCGTCGAGCAGAGCAGAGCCCCGTGCCATGGCGGTGGAGGAAGAGATGATTGGGAACGAGCGTGTGTGGCGAAAGTAGGGCGTAGCAGAGAAAGAGTTAGAGCTCAGGCGGCGAAGGCAAGAGGAACAATGGCGAAAGGAAGGGAGCAAATCCTTTTCTCGATGCTTTTATACCCTTGCCATCGCTGGGCCTGGCTCCTCGTTTCTCGCGCCCACTACTTCGCTCCCTCGTATCTCGCTATCTCGCTCCCTAGTTTCCCGTGCCCACGCTCCCACTAATCCCATTCGCCCGCTTACGGCGCATGAAGTGGATATGCGGTTGTGGCAATCGAAACGGATTGTATCGTGCGCGCGTTAATTACGCTCGCCGACCGAAGCGGCGTTACCGTATCTCCGAGCGAGACAAATTTGCTCACCCAGATTCGCGCGCTGCTCGAGTGGTGTGGCAGTCTTGAATAGACCGCCCATTATGGACAACCGAAGTTATCAATACCAATGTGCATGGATTGAGACCGTTGGGTATTTTGCCCAACTACGGAGACCGGCCCCACCTGTCACCAGGCTTTAGGGGTGGCGTTACACCTGACCGCTTCCCTTGGGAAGGGAAATTGCTCTGGCATAACGCCGGGGGCTACTGTCGGTGATATGGGACCGGGAGTATCATGACCAGAGGCTTGAGGCAGACGCAATCGCCCACGTGGCCTGGCACCTTCGGGGACGTCGGGCCCGAGGGCGAGGTGTCCGCCCTCCTCCTGATTTCCCCCGAGGGGGGGTCGGGTTGCGTTTGCCCCGGCCCCGAGGGCCGAGGCACCCCGACCCCTTAAAGAAGTCTGCGCCACATATATGGGATAAGTGAGCACAGCTGTGCTCACCTAACAGCATTTATTGCAGTCTGGTCAAGCGTGTCACGCTGCATGCAACGCAGTACAGCACGCTCTTTTATCCGGTCTGTGACCAGTCACAGACCGGTCAGATCAAGGGTTAGGTGGCGACTGGCGGTCTGACGCACGCCTTGCCCCATCCCGTCAAGACGAAAGCCTCTAGGCACTCGTCTCAAGCCGGAGCTAGCGTATTATTTCTTAGAGATGGCACGTTAGCCCTGGTCAGATTTATGCCAGGCTTCATCCTAACCATTACAGGCAAGGTGTTACACGAAGAAGGGCAAACATGCACGTTGTAAACCGACGCGTGGTGGACAAGAATGACCGGTCTGACACTGGTCGCATCAGCAACGGGCAGCCACGATCTCACGTTGCGCCCGTCTCCGCCGGGAGTGGAGGTAGGTGTGGGCTGTCCCATCGAAGTGTCATTTGGACGGCAACCATACCGATCTCCGTCCATAAAGAGAAGAAAAGTCCAGTTTGGAAAGGGAAGGGTGTATGTGGTATCCCCTTGAAGTATAAAAGGAGGACCTTGCCCATAGAGAAGGGGGATGGTTGATTCTTTTCCAGATTGAGAGCTTAGAACGGGGGAGAAATCAGCTCACACTTTGTAGCTCATTCATTCACAGATCCACCAAAACACAGGAGTAGGGTATTACGCTTCTCAGCGGCCCGAACCTGTATACATCGCCGCGTCTCGCGTTCTCTTGCTAACTGGCGGACGATCTTTCCACATACAGAGAGAGAGAGGGAGCTTGAGATTGCACCCTAAGCCCCCGGCCGAACCGGCAAAGGGGGGCCTGCGCGGTCTCCCGGTGAGGAGCCACGAGCTCCGTCATATATATATATATATATGTATATACTACTATACAACACCCTAAGGTGCTACGAATTAAACAGCACCTGATACAGCCTCCAGCCCACCCACCCATGCTTCCACCCTGCTCCCCACCAAGTATATAGTGTGCAGTTAAAATTTAACTCACCAACGACCAATCTCGATCCCACCCTTGTGCCCCCTACCCCCACTCCCATAATCCAAGTAAATTTTTTACTTGATGTTATCCATTTGTGTGCCTTCTGATTCGCTGGTGTTTGCACATTAAGTTATTTTTTTAACTCAACCATACAATGAATTGTTAAATATGAAGCCAGTTATTTTTTAACTATTAGCGAGATAGCCAATGTGTGTCTTGTGATCCAACGGTGTTTGCACATTGAGTTTTTTTAAGAGAAAATTCTTTATATGCCACTCAAAGTTTACGAATTTCCTTATATGCTATTGGAAAGTTACTATTTCCTTATATGCCATCCAACAAAAATTTATATGCCACTATCGAGGTCAAACTGCTTTGACCTTGTCAGTATTTTACCAAATGACAAAACTACCCTCGTGTGTTCTTCTGACTGCTTTTATTCACTCATTATCAACACACACACTTGAGCGTAACGGTTTCACCTTACAGTTGATCTGTCAAATTTTGCTAGTCCATCCAAGGATGTCGTTATTACAGTCATTAAAATTGTTATAAATATTTAAAAAAATTAAATGATAAGATATATTAATATTTTATATATCAGTCAAAAAAATTCAAATTCAAATTTGATCCTCACAAGTTGTAATGAAAATAACAAATTTAATTGAATCCAGTATACGTGTGCTATAACTAAATTTGTTTTTTTTAAAAAAAGACTGTAAAAGTGAAATTTAAACTTTCATATTTGTGTAGTGATATATCACATATTATTCTATGTTATTAAAAAATACTTTTTATAATTATTTGGATGACATGCAAAGAAACGAGTGAACATCCCCTCGAGGATTAAAAGGTAAAAGGGTAATATTATACCTTTGCATCCCTATTACACAAGATGATGACATGGATGGCATATAGGGAAAGAAAAAGTTCAAGTATTGGCATATGAATGAATAGCAACTTTCGATGGCATATAAGGAAACTTGTGAACTTTTAATGACAAATAAATAATTTTCTCTTTTTTTTAACTCGACATACTGACTTTATCAGAGAAACATTAGAGCCGGGCGTCCGGCGCGGGGGGAGCCGGATCGGGCGCTCCCGCCGCGCGCCCCTCCCCCCACGTGCAAACCTATGGGGCCCACTCACTTCTCTTCCCTCTTTTCCCACAAAAGATGTTTCACCTAGTGTAATTACAATGTTTCATTATTTATAGATCTAATGTTGCAGTGAATTAAAATACTTTTTTGCAACAAAAAACCCACATATTTTGGAAACTCTCTATTAAGAGAATTTGTTTTATTTTTTGTTCCACAAAAAATGTTTCACATAGTGTACTCACAATGTTTTACTATGTATAGATCTAATGTTGCAGTGAACGGAACATTCCATTGCAACAAAAAACCCACATATTTTGGAAACCCCCTATTAAGGGAATTCGGTTTATTTTTTGTTCCACCAAAAAATATTTCACCTAGTGTACTAACAATGTTTCCCTGTGTACAGATCTAATGTTGCTGTGAACTGAAACATTCTTTCGCTATTTGCTGAAACATTGTGTTTTATGTAAGGTGAAACAACACCCGATTTAAACGAGTGAAACATTTTCGATCTACTTAGTGAAACAATTCCGATATACCTGGTGGAACATCATGCAACATTTTAAAAAAATTCAATAATAAGCTAAATTTTTTCGTCGAAATATATCCATTGTGGTCTTGTTTTGAAGATTTAATTGCAACGAATTTAATGGTGCAATCGGATCATGATTTGGATAAGTAATTTAGGAGAAAAATCAGTTTAAAGCAGTTTTGCACGTAAATCGGGCGCTGACGTCAGTGCCCGATTTTGCTCCCAACCAATCGGGCGCCCGAGCCGTAGGTTCTCCCGACTCTATCTGATATATATATTACGGATTCCTATCGTAAAACCGTCCACCCACTCTTTACTCTCCCTCTCCATATTATTGAGTTATTTTTTAGCTTCACATGCCTTAAATTTAAATTTTTGTTTCTTTGTGCACAATTTTTTTTTCTCACAGTTATACCCCTTTTTTCCGGATCGCAGGTCAGCGACGGGCGGTCGAGCGGCGATTGCAGGTCGGCGGCGCGCGGCCGCCGGCTTGGGCTTCCTCGGCGCGTCGGGCGGCAGGCGGCGGGGTCCCTCCAGCTTCCTCCGACGGCGGGCGACAATGACGCCCTGTTTCAGCGGCGTGCGACGGGCTCGACGGGGCCATCCATTGCCTGGATCCGGCGGCGGCGGCCGTCCCTCGCCCGGCCCCGCACAGATCCACTAGCGGTTGCGGGAGGAGAGCCCAGGGGTAGACTCGGCGATGGCTGGCGGACAACGGTCGTGCACCGCGTGGAGTCCGGCGGCGGCGGGCGGCGTAGCCGCTCACTTCTTTCTGCCCACTGCCGTCATCGTGGTTGTCCTTCACCAGCTCGCCGTGAGGCCGCCGCCCTCTGCCCACACCGCCGCCGATGGACGTCGACTCTGACTCGGCCGCCGGGGGCAAGCCCACCCAGATGGACCTCGAGGACTAGGTATTCCCCAATCTGATTATCCTTTCTTCCTCCTCCCTATTCATTTCTTTTCCCTTTTTGATTTGTGCACAGGAACCCTAGTTCATCCCAATCTCATTTTACAGTGTCGATGCCGAAGTGGAGGAGCTCAGTTTTTGTTTTGATTTTCAATTTCATCCTCCAAGGATCTGCAGCTCATCCCCATCTATCAATTAAAATTTTCATGAACGCCAGACCTTAATAGAGACGTGGATTTTATAGTTTCTGAAAACGCACTGCCTTTCTTATCTTATAAACATGTATTATTGCTGATGTACCAGTAATGCTTGCCAAGACACAAAAACTTTAATGAATACAACTATGCAAGCGGCGAGTCAAAAGCTCTAATCAGTTTTATATCACTGTACTTGCTATTCATTCGGTCTTTACTGAACATCCTGAACTTCAATTTGCAGGTTTGACAGCTGGTTTCATATTTTAAGATACCACTCAGTCAAATTCTTGTGGTAAATATTGTCAATTTGTCATTGCTCCCATCAGCTGCTGCTGCTGCTGCTGCTACATCTCATTAGCTTCTTGTACCTGAAATTTAAACACATTTTTCACCTTCCTCATTGGGATATCTGGAAACCAATGGGATATTTTATTCATAATAACGTGTTCTTGAGGGGTGCATATCTAGAGATGCAGGTGAGGACTGGAGTTCCTTAGTTTTGAGATGCATGATTTTTTTCTCGAGAAGTACAGTAATTTTGCTTTTGCATTTGTATTTTTTTCATCATTGAGTTCTCCCAGGAGCTTTTTCTACTTGAGATTTAGCTTTTGTTCTAAAACTTTGGGATAAACAGAGCAATTTAAGTGGAATTGTTCTCGTGATTTTGTTGCCAGCCTATCTAAAATACATTTTGTTTTCTGAGCAGTACAGATGCATGAGCAGTACATACTTCTGCGGCAGTAAACGCAGATATGTCCATGATGAATTTTCGGGCTCTGATTCATTGATAGTGCTAGTTATATCAGAACTTATTTGATGGACTAGCTGTTCACATCTGATGCATTTGTTGCATTTCTGGGCCTTTTGTGTTCTCAATGAACAAATATGTTTAAATGGAATCCTCTTATACATGTGTCCTCAATGATTTTCTCTGTAGATTTTAAGAAAAAAATTGTTGTTAGGCTAGTAGTTTTCTGAATTTTTCTGCTTCAACAAAGGAGGTCGAATGATGCCTGAAATGCTGAACTTCTGTTTTTTTAGTACTGCCACATGAGCACTGAAATTGTCTAGTTCAATAGAGCATTGTTGATCGGTTAGTATTTTTCTGAAATTCCCTAGTTCTTGTAGAGCAGCACAAATGAATTTTCTTTGATCCTTCACTGAATCATTTAGCCATATCCTTCATTGAATCTGTAGAGCTGTTTTTTCATCTCATTTGTGTGGTTCTGTTAGTACTTTAATTAAATCGAAGTCAGGGCATATTCTCTAACAATTGTGGCTAGATGTTCCTTTGCGCTGAACCTATTGTTGTTGCTTAAACATCAAGGTATTCCTTAGTCTCCTTTGCTCTCTGACTATGTATTCCAGATAAATTTAGAGCTGCTATGGCACTTGTGAAGAGTGACATTGGTGGTAATATCACGGTAAGCATGCTTTTTTGCACGACACTTAATAGTACATTGTGTTGCTTTCCTCATTTTCATTAGTAAATTTCTGTAGTTATCTACTCCGTATGTGATAGATGCATGAATCATATTTACTTTAGTCAGATTTGCTTACCTAGAAGTTTGTGATAGAAGCGGCTCAGGTGAAATTCAAGGAGGCGACAGGCTTGACGCGATGGGCAGCATTGCACTAAGGGCTACCGCGCCGAGCATGTCGTCTGGAGGCCATGTCGCTGACCCGAGTCCGGAAGGTTTTATTGCTGGCCTCTTTGGTGATTCAAGCTCTGCATATCGCCTGACGGTCAGGTCGGCGGAGGCAGGTGCCTTCCACCTGGTGCACGTTCGTGGGAACCACCTGAGAACATCATCAACAGTCTTCCTTTTGAATGTCGACATTGTTCTATCGCCAGAATCAATTGTTTTTCTTCTGAGTAATTTTTTTACTTCTAGATTAACTGTGTAACATTTTACTGGTGGATCATATGATCCACTGTAAAGGCTCCTTGTAGTTTTCAGACTCACAAAGTCAAATGATCCGGTGAGATTTTTTATTATATAATGTAATAATATGCATGGCAAATAAACGTATTGTGATGGTTGATAATTTTCTACTTCCATTTTTTTTACTTAGTGCATTGAAATAGATGTGTTAACATGATAAACATGGTAGTAAACAAATTACTACCGTGGATAATTTTAGTGTTTGCAAAATTTTTACTCACCTTTTTTCCATAGATTGAGTAAATATATTACTAACCAAAAGAATTACGAAAGTGATGTATAAACTATGCGGGAGCGAAAATATTACTGACCTTAACGAGTATTATCGTGCCCCTCACAAGTGAGGAGTAAAAAAATTAACTGACGTATAAATAGGCCTGATATTGGTCTAGAATTTTTAGTAAAACTAGGAAGGTGGTCCATGCGCATGCGCGTGCACTTATATTATTGAAGAAAGTTAAGATTATTGTTTGTTAAAAAATTTGTCTCATAGATTAAGGGCAAACTAAAATTCAGATAATATTATTTTCATAATAATTTAAGGGTTCTATTTTTCTTAAGATATCTTAAAAAACCATTCACAAAATTTTGAGTAGGAGATAGATGAAGTAATTACGACTTTTGAATCATGTTTTTTTCTCCGAGTAAATAAGAAATTATTGCTAGTTAATTATCATAAATCCATCTATATATACACACACACACACACACACACATATATATATATATATATATATATATATATATATATATCGTGTAGTATGGCCATAAATGAACAATGCGAGAGCAAGATATTTTGATTAAATCCTTTCATGAAGGCGTAAGAAAGGGAGGGAAGCGTATGCATGGAAAAAAAAAAGAAATGGAAAAATGAAAAAAAAGGAGGGGAAGCGTACATACCCACGTACGTAGGTGCGCACCTATGCCGCAGGAGGAGAGGTAGGACCTCATAACATAGTTTGTTCTAAGATCAATTTAATCTAATAATTTATAATATTGGACGTACCGATTTAAGTGAAAATCAAGTAGTAGATAATTTTATTTTTTTTAGAATTTCTAATATTTGCTCTAATTTATTAGAGCACCATGTGGCAGCTTGAGAGCATTTTAAGAAATTTTAAAAGACTTATTCCAACAAAAATTTAGGGATCCGATTAAGGGATGCGATATGGGGGACACGTTATACCCGGTTTTATGATTAATGGATGCGATAACAGACTTATTCCAACAAAAATTAGACATGGAATTCGAAGCAGCAGCAACAGCTGAGACACACATGTACCGCACCAAATGCAGGCGTGCACAATCCATTCCCCATATGCATTCATGCATGTACTCCACGTCGGCCCAGCTACATCGATCTAGCAGTGTTTACTGCTAGGGAATAAGTTCACTTTAGGTCCCTCTATTTGTCGGTCATTCCGATTTTCGTCCCTTGACCACAAAACCGGGTACGACCCGTCCCCCAACTTACGAAACCGGGCAAACGAGGTCCCTTGGCAGTATGGAGGGCGGTTTTGGCTGACGTGGCGCCTACGTGACAATTTTATCCTGAAAAAATAATAAAAATAGTGGGACCCATATGTCAGCTACACAAAATATGATTAAAAAAGGTAGGGCCCATGTGGTCCCACATGTCAGCCTTCCTCTCCTATCTATCCCCCTCTCTCACACTGCCAGGAGAGAATGGCGACCGGCGGCGCCGAGGGGGCCACGGAGCGAAGCGGCGCGGTGGCCAGCGGTGGACGGAGCGATGGTGGGCGGCAGGCGGTGGGCGGCGGGAGGAAGCGGAGCCGAGCGGCGGCGGGGTGAAATGGAGCGGCAGCGGGCGGTGGGCGGAGCGACAAGGGTTGAGAGGCCAGTGAGCCGCTGCTCCTCTTCCGCCCTCCCGTCGGCCGCCCTCTCCAATAGCGCGATCGGCGAGCCGCCGTTCCTCTCCTTCCCACCCGTCGACTGGTGTGCGCCGCCGACCCTTTCCCGCAGGCAGCCGCGCGCCGCTCCCCCTCGCCGGTCTCCGCGAGCCGTCACTCCTCTCCCGCCCTACCGCCGGCCGCCGACCCAAGCACACCGCCGTTCCTCTCCCTCCCCCCGCCGGCCGGCGCGCGCCACCGCTCCTCTCGCGTCGGAGGTGTGCCCGGCGTCCTTGGCGAGGTCGTCGCCGCTCCGCCCGCCCCGTGGCCTGCCGCCGCCGCAAGGACGAGGGAGAGCCGAGAGGAAGAAGAGGAAGAGCCAAGAGTAGAGAAGGAGAGGGGAGGGGAGCCGGCGAGCTCAGCTTGGGAGGCGGCGGGAGCGGCGTCGTTGGCGTCGCTCCGCCCACCGCCCGCCGCCGCTCCATTTCGCCCCGCTGCCGCTCCGCTTCCTCCCGCCGTCGCTCCGTCCACCGCTGGCCGCGGCGCCGCTTCGCTCCGTCGCCACGCCGCCCATCGTCGCTCCGCTTCCTCCCGCCGGCCGCCGCGACGCTTCGCCGCAAGGACGAGGGAGAGACGAGAGGAAGAAGAGGAAGATCCAAGAGTGGAGAAGGAGAGGGGTGGGGAGCCGGCGAGCTCAACTTGGGGGGCGGCGTCGTCGGCGTCGCTTCGCCCACCGCCCGCCGCCGCTCCATTTCGCCCCGCTGCCGCTCCGCTTCCTCCCGCCGCCCACCGCCCGCCGTCGCTCCGTCCACCGCTGGCCGCCGCGCCGCCCATCGTCGCTCCGCTTCCTCCCGCCGGCCGCCGCGCCGCTTCGCTCCGTCGCCGCTCCGCCCGTCGCCCCCTTGGCACCGCCGCTCGCCCTTCTCTCCTGGCAGTGTAGGGGGGAGAGAAAGGGGGATAGAGAGAAGGAGGCTGACATGTGGGACCACATGGCCCCACCTTTTTTTAATTACTTTTTTTGTAGCTGACATATGGGTCCCACTATTTTTATTATTTTTTCGGGATAAAATTGCCACGTAATCGCCACGTCATTGCCACGTGGAACGAAGACCTAGTCAAAGGAGCCACGTAGGCGCCACGTAGACGCCACGTCAGCCAAAACCGCCCTCCATACTGCCAAGGGACCTCGTTTGCCCGGTTTCATAAGTTGGGGGACGGGTCGTACCCGGTTTTGTGGTCAAGGGACGAAAATCGGACTGACCGACAAATAGAGGGACCTAAAGTGAACTTATTCGTACTGCTAGTACTCCAAGCTAGCTAGCTTAGCGCGCACACATGTGCCCTTGCTCTGCGCGACGCATGGACATGTCGCGAGGGCGGGCCGGCCCGTCCGTTACAAGGCCCAACAAGCATTGTAACCCCACCTGTTGGGCCGGGCCCACTAAATCCCCTACTCTACTGCTGTCCCGAGCCTGTGGATCCAAATCCAACGGCCCACGGGTATCCTAACACCTGCCCAAAAGAGGACCGAGGAGTCTTCCTCCCCCGTCCACCGCTGCTCGCGAATCACCACAGATCGCCGCGGCGGAGACGAAGAGCGGCGGCGCAGAGGCTCTCAGATCCGGCGAGATGGTAAGCCCCGCGACCGATATCTCCTAGGGATCTAGGGTTTGACAAGGCTGCGGTGATGTGCTGGCTGACCTCGCCGTTGTGGGGATGGGTGGTGGTGTGGTGTGTGTGCAGGCGGCGAAGGCGATCTCGAGCCCCGTGCCGGTGGACTGGTACCCGACGCTGGCCGTCGTCATGGTCGCCGTCGGCCTCATGTTCACCGCCTCTTTCTTCATGTAAGTCGCTTCCCCCCCCAATCTCCGCGTCCTGCCCATCCCACTCTCCGCCTGGTTTGCGCAAGGCCGTGATCTGATCCGACGCGTGTAGCTGCTTGGTGATTCGTGAAATTGGTTCTTCTAGGCGCCAGAGATTGGGGATCTGATGTGCTTCATCGTTGTGTAGTTTTTGCTTCATCGGTTCATCTGTAGGTTGTAGCATTCTGTGCTCGCCAAGGAGGTTTGAGGGGTTCAGGTTCTAGGCTGCTTGGCACCTTTTGCTTTACCAAACTATGCTCAAGATTATGTTTCAGCTTTAGAGGTTTAGGACTTACAGTTGTCGATGATAGTGGGCTTAGCTTTGTTCAATAAAATTTCATGATTGTGGTTTTTATTGTGGTAGTGGCGCTGCGCATTCGTACTTTTATGGATTTGAGTCTTGCTAGGTTTTAATGTTCATGGAGAAATTTGACTTTCTGCATCTTCCTTCCAGATATGTGAATTTACACTTTTCCATGAATGGCTGGTCCTCACTTTAAGATTAGTTTGAACATTATATGTAGTAAGCATCATTTGCGAACTGAAATTCCTGTGCATGTTAATATTGTGTAAACGAAGATGCCTATCTATAATCATGAACATTAACCCATCCAAACCATTTCCAAAAACTAGCAAAACCTTCTCAAATGCACTGTTTTCTGAAAATTCATGTTATGATTAACATTTTGATATCAAGTACTCCCTCCGTTTCATATTATAAGACTTTCTAGCATTGCCCACATTCATATAGATGTTAATGAATCTATACACATATATGTCTAGACTAGATTCATTAATATCTATATAAATATGCAACGTTAGAAAGTCTTATAATATGAAACGGAGGAAGTATTTAACTTTTGAAACCAAGAGAATCATGTTCTTAGATTTGGGAACCAAGGGGTACCTTGTCAAGGACTGTTGTCTAATACCAATTAACCATATAATTTTGTAGCTTGCCGATGTGTTTGGTATGTTAATCCAGCTAGTGGCCTCTGCTAAGCTGATAATACCTGGCATAGTTATGGTTATGGCCTCATGGGTTGTAAGCAGTAAGACTAAACTCAACCAACTAAGCCCTGTTACTATCCCAATTAGGAAATGTAAATTCTGTGTTCTAATTTAGTAGACCTTTATATTGTATCGATGTGTACTTTTAAGATTCCTTTATGAAAACATGATAGCCAGTAGATTCATGCTCTTGCTCAAGTATTATCAGTTTTTAGTCTTTAGTCCTGACCTATATGGTTTGCCTAGGAATAAATTCTTAGCACTGTAATTCACTATCCTTTATTTTTTTTGGGTATGGAACAGCCTTCTAAAAAATGGTTAGTTGTTTTCTTCAGAAGAACCACAGAAATGAGTGTAAAATGTCGTGAACTGATTATGAACCAAATTGTATTTGTAAAGTATCCAAGATAGATTTTTTTGACTGGAGAAGTATCCAAGATAGATTATTAACCAATATAGTGCTATAGAGCTTCAATCAAGGGAACAGAACACCAACTTATATTTTGCTACTGGTGTGTATTATTTCAGCTATGAAGCGACTTCATCCAGGCGTAACCGTAGCTTAGCAAAGGAGATTGCCACAGCAACCATCGCATCTGTTTTTCTGGTATGTTCTTGTAAGAATTGTTTTTTTTTCTTCCCAATTTGACATGGTTATCAATGCATATCTAAGATCTTCCATTGTATTGCAGGGGTTTGGATCTCTTTTCGTGCTTCTTGCAAGTGGTGTTTATGTCTGATCGCCTGGGGCCATGCAGAAAGCATTTTGTTGTGTTATCTATTCCATAGTGAAAGTTCATCTAGGATATGTAAGGTCCTGAAATTACGTGCATGTTCCTACTTCTTAGGTAATATGCCTTATCGACATGGGTATGCTTTAGATAAAAATTGACGAGAGGTGTTTAAGACTTATTTTTGTGCCATTATATTAGGCAAAATTTGCTACAGTGCACCGAAAGATTGCGGTCTTTGCTGTGACACACCCGAAGATTGTGTATTTGCTCGTGGACACCTAAAAAATATGGTAATTAGCTAGTGGACACCGACCGCATTATTTTATTATTTTCGGTGGAAACGGAGAGGTAAACTTTAGTTAAAGACAAGTTTGCCCATGGGCCCACTTGTCAATATCTCTTTCTCTATTCTTCTTCTTCCTCTCTTTCTCTGTGTCGTCGGACCCTCAGCTCCCTAGCCCTGGCGGCGAGCAACATGCATGCGTCAGGTGGAGCAAACAGCCGCTGAATCCAGGCGCCACGGTGGGTAGCGATGGGCTGCTTGCTTCTTGCTGCTCGAGGACAAACCAAACAACGAGGAGGGCTTGCTGCTGCTACTAGGTCGTGAGTTCGATGGGATTGCCGTGCCGGCAGCGGGTAGAGCGATGACGACGAGCCGTGGCGAATGGAACGGTGACGATGAGCCGCGGCGAGGCCTGACGGGCAGACCGCGATGGACGGCCGACTGGATCTGGCGACCTCCGCACGGATCGGGCCACTCTCGCTGAATGCATGAACTCGCCGTTGTGGATCCGACGGGGATGCGACGGCGTTGTCGAAGTCAGCGGCTAAGCCGCATCCCAGGTCGCCCGCCACCGCGCAGCCGCTGCCATGACCGACCGCCACCTCCCGCCGGCCGATCTCCTCCTCCGTTGCTCCCCTTCCTATTCCCTTTCACCATAGGCTTTGCCTCATCGAGGAGAGTCCGTTTTCCCCTTTCCCCTCTCCCTCCACCTCTAAGCCAGGCCACCACCATAGCTGGCCAGAGCTGAGCTCTTTGTGTTGCCGTTCCGGCCATCTCCTTCTCCCCTTTGCTTGACACCACCCTCCCCGGATGCGCGTCGCCCAAGAACATCATCTGCCACCAACGTCGCCGATCCCCGGCCACCGGAGCACCAACGCCCTACTCTCTCCCTCTCCTCTGTTACTCGGCTGGAAGGAGGAAGAAGAACAATGTTCAGGGTATTTTGGTACTTACACAACTATCTCTCTCTATTTTGATTGGAAATAATAAAATAATTGGAGGAGTGTCTGGCAGCTAATTACCACTTTTTTACAGTGTTCACGAAAAGATTCACGATCTTCGGGTGTCTCATAGCAAAGATTCGGTGTCCTGTAACAAATTTTGCCATTATATTATCAGTCCGTTACTTAAAGGTTGCACGTCTTTCGCAATCGTAGCAGTGGCAGAAATACTGGTAGTATGAACCAGACTAGTAACGGGCTGATTACAACTGTTTACTGACAAGATATCAAACCAAATATTTGAAGTCAGATAATGGTTTCTAGCTGTTAACCAACTTAGTGCCCCTCTTCCATTGGTGCGTATCATAACATGACGATCAGATGTAGACTCATGCACTAGCTCAAGTATCTCTCCGTTCCCCTGTTCTGTACATTAATTTTCTCCTTGAGTGCTTATGAAAATCAATGGAAGACTTCACTTGTCATAAAATGCTAGAAGTTCATTTTCTTCTTGAGTGCTTATGAAAATCAATGGAAGACTTCACTTGTCATAAAATGCTAGAAGGACGATGTGTTTCATGTAAAGTTGTGTGGTAATCCAATCTTGAACTTCAGGACTTTTTTTTTTTGCATGACTTATGATGCTCAAAGAAAATTATGTGTCAGTTATAACAACTATTAAATGATTTTTTTTATTCATCTTTCATCAGGGTTTACAATTTTGAAATTGGTATTTTTGCCCGGGGTACCGAAATTTCGGAAATTTTTTGGCCGAATTTATTTGAAATTTTGAATGAATTTAATAAAATTTGATCAAATTCACAAAAATTTGGGCGAGATGTGAGCTTACCGGTGGGGGGGGGGAGAAATTACCAAAATTCTGAACCCTGCCTTTCATTAGACCTAGAGTCAAATAAATTTGCGTGGGGCATCAATTTCATGAGTACGGAGGAAAGGTTTTTTTTTTTTTTTTTCAATATCCTCTTTGATCAGTATAATTTGGTCGCTCAACTTCAAAACTGTATAGAAGTCGATCCTTAAACTTTGAAAACCGGAGAAGTATGTTCTATGCTGTTTCTAAGACAAAATACTGCAAGGAAAATGTTTCCTATCAGACGCCACCACCCAGCTAAACAAATCGGTCGCACGACGTCCAGCTTTTGTTTGCCCTCTCTCCTTTCTCTTTCTACAGCCAGATGTGTCGACTCTCTAGCACCCTTAGAGTAGTATGTTCTATATATACTGTTTCTAAGACAAAATACTTTGGAAAATGCTTCCCCGAGCCCGACCCAACAAATCGGCCGCTCGGCCCTCTCCCTCCCTTCTCTCTTTGCAACCACATGTGCCTATTCTCTAGCACTCTCTGACTCTCGAGTGTTCTCTATCTCATGTGCAACAACGGTGGCTCTCTAGATGCATGTGCTCCATTAGCAAAACTTTTTTTTAATTACACAGTACAACGCAGACATTCATAACACACGTACGCTCATCTCTATGAACGCACATACGTAAACCCTACCCCTATGAGCATTTTCGAAGGCTGGGCCAGCAAATCCTTGAGATTGATGAAGTCGCCATAGGCGCCTCGCTGTCAACGGGTACATCGACTACCACTAAAAGAACAATGCCGTTAAAGTTTACTTTTCTCCTAAATTTCTCCAAAAAATATTTCAATCATTGAGCTTTGATGTTTCATGTGTGAGAAATGAATATTCCAGCTGTCCTATAATTAACTTTGTGGCACATTTTAAGTTTTGATTATATATTTCTTTTCTTAATGTTTCAGTCAAATATGATTTAATGCTTCATATATTGGCTGTTGGTGTTTCAGCTAATATTTCTTAGATGTTATATCTCCTTTAAGCATTTTAATCAATTGAGTTTAAACATTTAACTAAATGATGGAAAAAAATTCTCTAACCGATGAAACAACGACACCCGAGTCCCGACTTATAACTTGATCACTTCAATGATCTATGGCAATTAGGCAAAGGTCAACATGTGGTACGAGCTAACAAACATCTGCCTTGTTTCGTGTAGTGGTCACTTGCAAACTGAATTTTTTTATAATTTGGTCTTTTTAAAAACTTATTTCACAAATATATCCCTGTAAAAACTTATTCCAGAAATGGTCATTTTTGGCGCCAAAGTGGCTGACGCCGTGGTCCAACGGTTGGCGCCATCACCCCGCCACCGTGGCACACGCGAACCGACGTGGTAGGAGGATATTTTTTGGGTATTTTATGCGAACACGTTAGCTCACCTTAGAGCTAAAATTCTATAAAAAATAAAACACATAATTTTGTTGGATAAAATTAGAGCTAATATTATAAAAGTTTATAAAATCAACAATAATTTTGTGTTGATTCACACCAAAATTATGTGTTAAAATTAACAATTAAACTTGTAGATTTTGAACATTCTTGTGCTTATTTTTACATCTTTTACATCCTACAAAAAAAAGTTGGGGTTTGAGTTTTTTTTGGTTACATTCAGTGTCATTTCTTAAAACAGGCGTAACTTTCTCATATGGACTCGGAATCGGACAAATAATATATATCCACAGACATCTACAGAAAAAATTACATCCGATTTTCCCCGGCTTCGGTGAAATTAAAACCTCCAAATTCCGCTTACAAGATTGTGTTTTCGAGACGAGAAGCTTTCCGGTAGAGCTTTGGAAAATTCTACAAGTCACATATTTCTTCCGTTTGAGTTTATTTTTTTTATCGTTGGTTCTTGTGAGTTCCTAAGTGTGAAAAAATATCAAAAAATAAAATAAAAATAAAAAAGTTGCACATCTCTCTCCTCTACACTAGAGAGGAGAGAGAAAAAATTCTACAGGGTACATATTTCGTCCATTTGAGTACATTTTTTCTATGGTTGGTTCTTGTGTGTTCCTAAGCGTGAAAAAAATATCAAAAAAATAAAAGAAAATAAAAATTTGCGGGTGGGTGGGAGGGGGGAGGGGGGGCAACCACTCTGGCGCGCTCCCCCTGCCACCTCAAAACCGCCGGTCACTATTTCTGGGATAAGTTTTTCCAGAGGTTTATTTGCGAAATAAGTTTTTGAAAAGAACCAAATTGTGAAAAATCCAGCACTTGCAAATATGCGGTGCTTGAAATTCTCAATATGGCTATTCGTTGGGGGATGAAAATTTTATTTTGTGAGTCAAGCATGAGTGACAAGTCACTCTACTCACTCTACTCCATGTGAGAATATTGCCCAACATGGCGTGTGATCGATGTGTCCATGTCGATCCAGCGTTGAGCAGATGGTGCATCAGAGTACGACTTTGCGTGTGTGCGCACACCCTGAAAACGAGAAGAAAAAAATAGAGCGCGCGGACCACCTGTTGCCGGCTGCGCTGACAAAAAAATCTGGCGCGGCGCTGAAAAAGCTGCCTAAATACTCACTCCGTTGGATATGACATATTTTAATACTACAGATCTAGACATATCTCTATCCAGATTTTTTTTGAAACGTCTCTATCCAGATTCGTTGTATTCATTGTAGTAGAATATGTCATATCCAGTTCTAGATTTATTTTTTTTTTTGGCACAGAGGAGGGAGTAGATGCGAATGTTGCCGTGGCTAGCCCAGCTGCCTCCGTGTGTTTGTCTCTGTCGAGGGTGTCAATTTGCCATCGCGTGGGTGTAAAGAGAGAGGGAAAATAACAGCGTATGTGGGTGAAAACCTAAAGACTATCGTGGATCGAAAATTGGAGGTTTGAGATTAGTGCACGACACCATGAGTAAAACTTTTACTCGTAAGTAATAAATCTACAAGTAAAATTTTTACTCGTCATGACGTGCATGAATCAGACTTGGAGGTTTGAGATTAGTGCACGTCACCATGAGTAAAACTTTTACTCGTAAGTAATAAATCTACAAGTAAAATTTTTACTCGTCATGACGTGCATGAATCCTAGACATCTATTTTTCAATTCAACGGTAGTTTCCACTGTATATTTTTTTCCCAAGCTAAAGGGCATCGTGTTTATCCATCTCCAGCTCGATCGTTGACCGGAGAATTTGGTATCTGGCGTTGTCCATGATTTGTTTGTGTAATATTCACTGGCACCAGAATTTAAACCTTGTATTCTGTCATCTTGCTTCTTTTTTTTTCGCTGAAGGAGTTTAATTCCGATAAATGGAACAAACCAATTCAATGAACCCTTGGTTGCATTTTTACCAACTTATTGTAGACAAGTGGCTCTTGAACAGTGAAGTGTTCATACCCACAGTGCTGAAGTGGCAGTCACCTTTGCTGGTATAATTGTTGCACACTGTAATGCAATTTGGTACAATTGCCAAAGGCAGACTACATATATAATTGTGTGGATCCATGACTTGACACGGAATTTTCTTTCCTTCTTTCAGTTGACATTGCCCAGTTACTTTAATAAATAACACACTTGTGGCTACGCTGCGTTTGTTCTTTGTTGTGTGCTTGCTAACTGTAAAGATAACCCAAATTAAAGAAAATTCCATATGAACATATTCTTCACAAAAGGCAGAAGTAAAAACTATACTATCTTGGTGTGTGGCCATAGAAAATGCAGGAAAAGAAATGATGGTTGTATCCTTGAGTCAATGCCATAGGAGTAAGTGAGGAGTGACATCAACATGGAAAAAGAATAAAGTGTTGCATTAACTTCTTGTGTCGATTATCTTCTGTTTTGCATTGTGGTGTTTTGTACACTTTGACATTTTTGGCACTCAATACTTTTTTTCTTTTGATCTATAACAAAGACAAATTCTTGAGTGCTTTTTTGATTTTCTAAGTCTGTGCAGGAGAAGAACAGAGACAGACATGTTCATTTCTTCCATTTGCTACTCTTTGCACTTTAGCCCATACACAATTCTATAATTAATTATATTTCCTTATGAAGATAAAATTTACTAAGCTCAAACCAAGATTCTTATTTTGTAACCCTTGTGGTGTTGCAGTATTCTTTGAGTGGAGAATATGTGCTGTGATAATTGAAATGACAAGCAAAGATATGGATCTACTATATCCTTGGGGAAAAAAAGACAGCATGGTTGCTCAACAAGACAAAAACTACTAGGAGAGTGCATGGGAGGGAGTCAATGAGGAGTGACATCAAATGGCATGGGGAAAAAGCAATGCATTAATTTCTGTTTGGTATTGTGCTCCATTTGGCATTGCCAAATGTTTCAAGAAACTCTACTTGACATTTGTGGTGCAATGCAAGAAACCCGGACTAACTTGGCACTTGGCACCTCAGAATGCCAAGATAAGTACATAACACAACAATTTCCACTATGATACTTTATTTTGGAAAATTCATGATGTGGTAATTTGATTATAATACAATGAATTATAACTAGCGTCCCGTCTATTAGACATTCGCATGTGATGCAGTAAACGTATGCCGCGACCATAATTATTTTCTCAAAAGTAGTAAATGTATCCCATGACTGTAAATATTTTGTCAGAAGTGGTAAATGTATCCCACTATGACCGTAAATCAAAGGGATACAGGTAGTGCCTGAGCACTAGGTAAGAGATGTAAGATAATGGGTATGGATGTGAATTTATCATGAAGATAAAATGGAGGACGTACTGATCAAACAAGGCATGTGCAAGAGGGGATAAACACTTCCAAGTGGATGCAATAATCACCCAAACAATCTCTTTAAGATTATATCTAATCTAGTTAATGGATTGAGTAATCATCATCGATGTGTGAAGAGAATAGTTTGTTATAGCCTAAGAAAATCGATAATACCTTGCGTGCCTGATACTTAATTCCATGGGAAAATACGGTCAAAAACAGACAAAACGCAGTTCGGTGCTATCATAATTCATAATCATGTCATATGTATCTCGGTATCTGCATGCATTGTCTGCTAGCTAGTATTCATTTGCTACTTTGATCCTGACTCTTAAGGCAGTAATTATGAGCAAGACCACAATTTCACCTCACACATGGATAACCATCATTTCAGCTGCAGAAACAAAGTATGGTGAATTAAGATGACAGATGATAATGGCACTATGTAGTGCAAGTTGTATTGTCCACTAAATTAGTTTTTTTTCTTGGTAAAATAGTTTTTGCACATGCACAATCATTTATAAAATACTTATGTGCTTGTCACATTGCAACTATAAATGCTTTCTTTGTTGCAGCTCAGCCTAAAATGAGCATGAACTCCCCTGTCTGCATCTCAGCACAAACAAGTGACAACACGCCATGATATTTTACTTCTAACTGAAAAATATCAAACGTGACATCAACTAGAATTTGGTAGATGGCATGATTAATAATGGCTGTAGTGATAAACCGCATGGAGTTTTCTGCAAGTGAAAATGATACAGCATGTTCTGCACTGTCTTTAAATTTGTTATATGTAGCACAACCGTAAAAGGGCTATGTACCAAATCCACAAGTCCACAACCCTGAAGACAGCAATATGCTTCTTTTCAAAAAGGAAAAAAAAACAGCTTTGCATCTAACTTGTTTAAGAAAAAGAAAAGATGAGAGATCATCAAACCTTTCCAAGATGCAAAGTTGCACCGCCAAACATCTATGAATGAGCATGTGAACCATTTTTCAACATGAACAAAGCTAACATGTTCATACTCATACATGTATATCCTCTTTGCCTAAAAACCCATTTGGTAAGAAACATAGAAATAGCACATACACCATCACATGCAACTGGCTAACATACTACAAGGAGCTACATGATATGAGCTTCTTTGTTCCTTTGGCTACAAATGCGCAACAAAATCAGGAAAGCTGAGGTACTCGTTTTCGCATAGCTCGTGCAGGCAACTAAACACACCCACACCTATTTACGCAGGTGTGCCAAAACAAACCTAACTCCACTACGCCAAAATTATCAACTTTTTCCCCCAAAAAAATTAAAGAAAAATGCACATACAAACAGATCAAGGTGAGCTGTGACTTAATAGCCAAAACAAAATGAAAAGAAAAAGAAAAGGAAAAAGAAAAGGCATTTTGGCTAGTACTATAAAACCTGGACAAGCCTCTCTCTCCCCCATTTCAAGTGTGAGTGCTTCACCTTTCCTCCACTTACTACTCTTTGTGAGAGTGAGCCTCTCGCCATTGTTGCCTCGATAAGAAGCTTAATTAGCTCGGAAGCCTTTTCACTTTTCAGCCATGAGGCTGTCGTCCCTGCTGTTCTTGGTGTGCTTCTTCACTGTCGCCATGTCGCAATGCGCGGCGGCGGCGAAGGCGAGGCACTTCAGGTGGGAGGTGAGCAACATGTTCTGGTCGCCGGACTGCGAGGAGAAGGTGGTGATCGGCATCAATGGCCAGTTCCCCGGGCCGACCATCCGCGCCAAGGCCGGCGACACCATCGTCGTCCACCTCAAGAACGGCCTGCACACCGAGGGCGTCGTCATCCACTGGCACGGCATCAGACAGGTCAGTAGCAACTAAACTGAATTTTAATTAAGCCAAGAACTCACACAAACTCTGCAACTGCAACTGATGTCCTTTTTTTTTTGGTTACATGTTCAGAATTCAAATACACTCTTTTTTTTTCTTTGGAAATAGCAAACTATAGTACTGATTATTAAACTGTCAATTTTGTACGGGTTAATTTTGGTAAGTGCTGCTTGGTTTTGTGATCATGCAAAAAAGAGAAAAAAAATTCAACGTTTGCATGGGCTTGGATTGTGACAGATCGGGACACCATGGGCGGATGGCACGGCATCGATCTCCCAGTGCGCCATCAACCCTGAAGAAACCTTCACCTATCGCTTCGTTGTCGACAAGGTACTACTATACTAAATGATATGATCATTGTTCATGCCAAGAAATTTAAATTGAATAAATTCAGAACACATAAGTACTGTACAGTGTAACATGTAGCTGAAGAATTCAGCTGTGTGTGACATCTGAATTGGTTCTGAATGATCAGTGCTGAGTGTTTTCCATGGCTGCTGCCGGGGGACGTACTTCTACCACGGGCACTATAGTACTAAATGATATGATCATTGTTCATCCCAAGAAACTTAAACTGAAATTAATTCAGAACACACAAGTACTGTAGTAACATGTATCTGAAAAATGCTGAAGAATTCAGTTGTGACGTCTGAATTAAATCCTGAATGTTTCATTGAGTGGTTTCTCATGGATGCAGCCGGGGACGTACTTCTACCACGGCCACTACGGGATGCAGAGGGCGGCGGGGCTGTACGGGTCGCTGATCGTGGACGTCGCCGACGGCGACGAGGAGCCGTTCAAGTACGACGGCGAGATCAACCTGCTGCTCAGCGACTGGTACCACGAGAGCATCTACACCCAGATGGTCGGCCTCTCCTCCAACCCCTTCCGATGGATCGGCGAGCCGCAGGTATGTAACCGTTCAATTATCATCAGTTCATCACCATCTCTGATGAACTCTGCACTACTACTGTTCTTGCAATTATTTCTTCAGAGAGATATCAGATGTGTATATGCAGTTTCTTGTTAGGTTCTTTGATTGTTTGTGATTGGTTGAGGTGATAATTTTTAGATCGTTTGGTGATGTAGTGCGTCAAGTAGATTTATACGTTGGTTAAGTAGAAATGGCGCTATGACACTAAAAAATACTTCAGATTATCTTTGAAAGGAGACTTATTAATACTCTGTCACTAGAAAACTCATTACCAATGGGGCAAATCAGCTCCTCAATTTCTTTAAAACTTGCGCAGCAAATTGTTTCATAGCTTTGAATAACTAAGAAAGAGGAGTACTCATTTTGTAATACCATGTTCAGTTCACTGCTGAATGACATGATTTCCAATAATGCACACCACTGAATTCAATTATTAGAGTGGCATACAGATATACAGAATAGTGGCAGTGCTTGCTCTGAAAATACTTAAGTTTAGTTTAAGAAACTTTTCAGTCTTATATAAATAATGCAGATTAAGGCAAGTGCCAGGCTTGGACCAGCCACAAAAGCTAATAAAAAACATGGCCTCAAAGATCTCGGTTGATAGTGATGAACTGACAATGCACACAACTAGCTTTCCTTTTCTCAAACAACACCAAAAAGCTGAAAAATGTGTGCAAGGTCCACTGAAATGATCAGAAAGGTGAACAAAAACATTTGTCAGCCCCAGCCCCATTGGGGTTCCTGGAAAGAAACACTCACTCTTCAAAAAGCACATCAAGTGTATATGACACTTTGGACACAATGCCAGCAGCATCTGTACAACCAAGTCAGAAATCACATTTGATCATATAACATTGCACAGTAGGAAAGATCACATAGCTAGTACCCCCCCCCTCTATTCGCTAATAGATGTCGTTTTAGAAAACGTGTAATCAAATATCGAAATCTAAGGTCGCTTATATATCTAAAAAATATATTGACTTAATATGCGCATTTGGTATATTTATCATTGAAAGATACTTTCATCTAGTTATATTTCTAATAATTTTGAAGTATATATATGATTGCAAAATTGGTGATTAAACACATCTATTGGAGACTGCCACTCTTAGCAGATCCGTTTAATCCGTCTCATAAAGTGGCAAAAAGTTAACTATCCCGCATAATTGTCCTAAATGACAAGTAAAAAAGAATGAAGGGAAAACTAGATTCTCTCCTCTCACAAATCACAAGGTCACAACAAAATTTTCTGAAGAAATGTTGGAGGGGTGTCATGAATGATTAGGAAACCAAAGTCCAAAAAGGACATTGCTGGTCACCAGGCCACATGATTTTGTAAATGGGACACATCCTGTCATGCTGCAAAGAGAAAAGCATCCATGCAATGCAAGTTAGGGCCCTTCTTTTTCACACTCTAATCTTGGGAAACTGTCTTGCAAGATGCATGATGATGAAGGGAGCTAGCTAGTACTATTATTGTGTGTGGGGAGCATTGGGCAGGCAGGAAGCAGGGAAAAGGTCAATCCAAGCATGATAAGGCTGTGCTGCACATTGGCTGTTTTTTTTTTGGGTTTAGAGAAAATTTGGCTGATTTCACTGCTGACATATACTATTACAAGAAGTTTGGAATCCCAGGCAGACAGACGTGCACTGATTGCACATTGTTTGACAGGGTCTGTGCCAGCAATGTCTATTGTTCAATTTCAGTTATCTAAAAAGAAGTACTCCCTCCGTTTTATAATGTAAGTCATTCTAGCATTTCCACATTCATATAGATGTTAATGAATCTAAACATATAGATGTTAATAAATCTAAACATATGACTATGTCTAGATTCATTAACATCTATATACATGTGGGCAATGTTGGAATGATTTACATTATGAAATGGATGAAGTATTCAATTATTTTTATCTGTCAATTGAGTGTGATCTGTCTGTATTAGACCCTTCTTGAGAAACTGCAATCTGAACCAAGAAAAGAGATGAGAATTCAGAATCACAATGCAATGTTGATTGCTGCTGATTTGGGGGGCAAATCTTTCATGTGGCAGGCATCACAACACTGCATTCTGCTCTGATGAGTGATGAGAATATAAAATCTTTACCTGAATTTCGCTCTGAATATTCTAATGAAATATGAGCTGAAAACTCTGCAGTCATTGCTGATCAATGGGAGGGGCCAGTTCAACTGCTCGCTGGCGGCGGCGCACACGCCGGGCGCCAAGCAGTGCGCCGCCGCCGGCAACCGGCACTGCGCTCCGGTGATCCTCCCCGTCCTTCCCAACAAAACGTACAGGCTCAGGGTCGCGAGCACCACCTCGCTCGCTTCCCTCAACCTCGCCGTCGGGGTGAGCAAGAATCCAAACATATTTCGTCCAAAAATATTACAAGTTTGTTGGATTTTGGCGAGTTTGTGTTTGAATTATAATTTTGATGACAGAATCACAAGCTGACGGTGGTGGAGGCCGACGGGAACTACGTGGAGCCGTTCGCCGTCGACGACATCGACATCTACTCCGGCGACAGCTACTCCGTGCTGCTGACGACGGACCAGGACACGTCGGCGAACTACTGGGTCAGCGTCGGCGTGCGCGGCCGGCAGCCCAGGACGGCGCCAGCGCTGGCCGTGCTCAACTACCGCCCCAACCGCGCGTCCAGGCTGCCGGCGGCGGCGCCGCCGGCCACCCCGGCGTGGGACGACTTCGCGCGCAGCAAGGCGTTCACGTACCGCATCCTCGGCCGCGCCGGCGTCACGCCGCCGCCGCCGGCGACGTCGGACCGGCGCATCGAGCTGCTCAACACGCAGAACCGGATGGGCGGCGGGCACGTGAAGTGGTCGATCAACAACGTGTCCATGGTGCTCCCGGCGACGCCGTACCTGGGGTCCCTCAAGATGGGGCTGAGGTCGGCGCTCCCGTCGGCGGCGAGGCCGTCCGACACGTTCGGGCGCGGGTACGACGTGATGCGGCCGCCGGCGAACCCGAACACCACGGTGGGCGACAACGTGTACGTGCTCGCGCACAACGCGACGGTGGACGTGGTGCTCCAGAACGCGAACGCGCTGGCGCGGAACGTCAGCGAGGTGCACCCGTGGCACCTCCACGGGCACGACTTCTGGGTGCTGGGCTACGGCGACGGCGCGTTCCGGGGCGACGCCGGCGACGCGGCGGCGCTGAACCTGAGAAACCCGCCGCTGCGGAACACGGCGGTGATCTTCCCGTACGGGTGGACGGCGATCCGGTTCGTGGCGGACAACCCCGGGGTGTGGGCGTTCCACTGCCACATCGAGCCGCACCTCCACATGGGCATGGGCGTCATCTTCGCCGAGGCCGTCGACCGCGTCAGCGAGCTCCCCAAGGCGGCCGTCTCCTGCGGCGCCACCGCCACCGCGCTCATGGCCGGCGCCGGCGGCCACGTGTGATCGATCGTGCGTGCATTCTCATGCACGTTGCGCTCTTCTTCTAGTACTAGTTTTGTAACTTTGGTGTTCTTTTTGCTCGTTTTATCTTAGCCATTAGCGTGATTTGCGATATGTTGGGTTGGATTTTGCTTAAGCTTATAGGATGAAGAGAGCTAGATCGCATGGAGTGTAGTGTCGCTAATAGTAATCAGTCTCACTGTTCATCCAAAATCAAGCTAAATGCGATCATGACAACCATTTGCGCGTACGGCTTAGGTACCAGAACCACCATATTTTCTAGCGTAAATCATGTGAAACATCATAAGAAATTAAATCAACTACAATATCAACAAAACAAGTGTACCAATCTAGATAGGACTTCTTCCCCCTCTCCTATGGCCACATCTAGGCCTGTTTGGGGAAGCTTAAGATTCTAAGAAGCAGCTTTTTCTAGCGTAAATCATGTGAAACATCATAAGAAATTAAATCAACTACAATATCAACAAAACAAGTGTACCAATCTAGATAGGACTTCTTCCCCCTCTCCTATGGCCACATCTAGGCCTGTTTGGGGAAGCTTAAGATTCTAAGAAGCAGCTGAGAATCTGGAAAAACCGAGATTCTCAGCTTCTGGTTCTAGTTCATATTTTGGATTTTACAACTACAGCTTCTCAGAATCTGTATCAAAAGATGAACTATTTGGGGGAGTTTCTAATTCTGAGAGAAGTTACAACAGCTAAAAGCTTCCTCAAATAGGCCCCTAGACTCACTCTACAACGACGAGAATGGGAGGGGATCCGGAAGTGGCGGAGCCAGGAATTTAACCCTATAGGGTCAATTACTACTAGTTTGTATTTAAGTGGGACCATTTCTCTAATTTTTCTAGATTTTTACTTGAAAATCAAGGTTTATAGGGGTGTTCTTAAAAAAGTTGTGGGGTTAGCTGACCCCACAGTCTATGCATAGACCCATCACTGGGATCCGGTTCAAACGGTAGTGCAAACGCTAGAGGAAGACAGAGGTGACAAGAAAAGGCAGGAGATGCTCAGATGTTGAAGGCGTCGCTCCCACTATGCAGCGAGCTCTGCACGACTGCACCTCTTGCTACTATCGTGTCATCACCCACTGCTTAGTGGAAAGTGTTCAGTTTTTCTTCCATGTCACTTGTCAGGCGTTCATGGGGAAGCATTCCCCTTTGGAATAAGTCCACTAGTTCCAATCTAGTTCATATCCCTGGATCGTAATACCGAATATGTTGGCCCCCAACTATTAAAACCGCATAATTTGACTCCCTTAACGGTTTTAGAGGGCGATTTCACTGACGTAGTGTTTTGACGCGGTCCAATCAGCTAGCTCATCATGTGGGACCCACCTAGCAGTGCCCAATTTTCTTCTTCTTTCCCCTTTCTTCTCTCACTATTTCTCCCCTCTCCTTTCTGCTACCATGGTGGCGGTGGTGTCGAGAGGTTGATCAGCCCAGAGAGAGGTGCGTGCGGTAGAGAAATTGGACAGGTGGGACAAGAAGCACTCGAAGCTGGCTACAGGCGGCAGCTAGCACAAGCTGATGGTGTCCGAATCGCCGTGCTAATGCAACCGCGCCTCCATCCACGTCGGCTGCCCCACCATGCTCCAAGTCAATTGCCGCCCTTCTTCCCACTTGTAGGATCAAGGAGGCCGACTAGAGAGGGGTGAATAGGCGGTTTTAAAACTTTTGGCTAAAACCGAGTTTTGTATGCAGAAGCGTAAATCAAAACGGTTTTGCACAATTCAAAACCTAAATCAACTAGTCTCAAGTAAGTGCACAAAGAATCTAGCCTATGTTGAGATTTGTAAGCCTAGGGTGATAATAGCACAAATAAACTCTACTATGTAAACTTTCGCAAAGTAAATTTCCACAAAATAAAGGAGACAAGTGACAAAAGATTTTTTTCACCCGATGTTCGGAAGCTTGCCAACTTCCTACGTCACCGTTGAGGCGAGTCCAACTTCACCGCTCAAACCATGAAGCCACTGCAAGCCCTCTTCGTCAAGGGGTGGGCAAGGTGGAAGCCGGCCCACGAAGTGGTCTCCCAAGCCTCTATCACTATGGTTGTTCTTCCTCCACTCCGGAGATGGCGAACACCGAGCCACTCACAATCAACACCGGGTCTCCTACACAACCTTCTTGGAGAGGTCACCGGGCAACTCCTCCAAACCGTCTATAGCAGGTGGCAACCTCCAAGAGTAACAAGTCTATGATGCTTGCCAAGGATGATCAAGTGCCACACTAGCTCTAACAATGAAGTAATGCACTTGGATTGGCTTAACTCACTCTCCAACACCTCACTAAATAAACTAAGTACACAAGGGTGTGAGAGCTCTTGCAAGGGTTCAAGATAATGCAATGGAGTGCCAAAACCTTACCCTTACTGCTGGGAAGTGGGTATATATACCCCTAACCACCAAAACTAGCCGTTGGAGGCTAAAACACCTTTTAGGACGTGCCTGCCGGTCTGACCGCCCTTCTAAACCCGGTCAGACCAGCCCTCGGTCCAACAGTCGAAAAACTAGCCCACGGGGGCTTTCGGGTCCTTCAGGCGGTCTGACCGGCCATCAAAGATCGGTCTGACCGCTGGCCGATTTTCAGCACAACCCACCGACAGTAAAACGGCGATATCTCTTAACTCGTGTCTCAGAGTTTGACGTTCTTGGACTCTATGGAAATATTATTCAAAGGGATATCCAACCCATGAAAAATCCATTCAATAAACATGACTTAATTCAGGGAGAAAGGGCTCACACTCCAAAGGATATCCACCGGACATACCCACAAGATGCCACTCACTCCTATTAGACATGCCCACTTCTCTCTTTGTTTGGGACTTGAGAAAACTCATCACACTTCACACTTGGCTAGACAATCCCACCGAATTCACCTACATGCATATGAACTAATATGGCACAAGATCATCCACATGTTCGCTTCATAGACCCCTCCAGATAGTACGATGCCTATCTAACAAATCCGGTCTACACCAAACACCAAGAGCGGGAAAAAAGACTAAGAAAACATTCTTGGCTCGATTATACCTTTGCCTTGCACCATCCAACTTGGGGTCAATGCTTGAACCAAGATCAACACTTGTGACCATTCGGTTGAATCATGTTTATGCCGAGGTCTTGGCCATCCTTTGTCAAGACTTTCTTCTCATCATAAGCTTGATTTCATTCTTATCAACATGGCAATGCTTTTGGCTTGGTGACCATCAACCCATGGTGTCATCCATTATCCTCATCACAGTGGGACCTATTCCTTTGCACAGCTCATAGGAGAACATTAGTCCCAACAAATCGGTTGTCATCCTCCACTTGATGACCAACTGGTTGCATATGAAAGATATGTATATGTTTGTTAAGTATTCATTAACACCACAAGTGTACTCGCATGCAAGCTCAAATGCAAAGATCCAATATAAATAATAGGTGAACAATATGGATCTAGAACATGCACAACAAGAGTGTATAGGATTTGTTCCCCCTAAATATATGCATACAAAGGAATATACAAGAGAGACAAGTGTATGCATAACTAGAGAATGACCAATGGGGGTTTATCCTATACACATAAAAAAAAGCGTATGTAGTAATTGTGGAGATTATGGGTACCCCATACCCACACGGCATGGTTATCTGACTAATTATAGGGGATAGCTTCTATGTATGGAATATGTAACAAATCATGACTTGGGTATTACGTTTTCTTTTATATTATGGAGCGGCCTAAAGTTCTGATTTGATAATATTGTAAAATAGATTTAGGAAACCGATACCGTATTGGTTAAGGTTTCTATCTTGTAATCCTGCCCCCCATCCTATATAAGGTGGGCAGGAGGCCCTCTAGGAGGCATGAGCACATATAATCGTCAGATCTATACTACACCCGGCGGATTCAAATCCCCAAACAGGAGTAGGGTATTACCTCTCACTGAGAGGGTCTGAATCTGTCTAAATCCTTGTCTCTGCATCCATCCACTTTTAGGTCTCGTACGCTACCCCCTTTTATTATTGCCGAATTCATGTTTCGACAATAATGTTGTAGACCAACATAAAACTCATACCTTCGTGATCTCCATGTTCTCAATGTAAATAAGACTAAATAAGATAAGACTCGAGTAAACATTAGTCTCACACTTATATGACAATAATATGGAAATCATATATATGAACCTATTAAAAAGTAGGAGATAAGAAGTGGTACATATCGTTTTATCTCCATGCATTTCATCCTTGTCATGATTAAGGTCCATCACAAAAGAATGCATGTCTTCCACATCTCATTATCGAGAAATAACCTAGTAGACAACTTATGTAAAAAAGAGGTTAATCCCATAAACATTAGTTTATTATTTATCACTAAAGTAACAATTACACATTGTTTAATCCAAGATCTTTCAATCTTTTCTCTCTTTGGTGATGGATAATAACCTGACATAAACAATATAGAGATGTGAGATGAAAGATGATTTCAAATCAAGGTAGAGATATTATGAAAAACCAAAATATAAAATAAGCTCCCCCTCAAGATGTGTATACAAATGGATATGAAGGAACACATATGCACATAATCAATCAAAATCAATGAGAGAGCTCACGCTATATTTTGGATCCATAAGAGAGACCAAATTAGAATATATGAAATTTAATACATACCTTTTATCATTTTTATTTTCATATCCAAATGAGACTAGTCAAAGAAAAACTCATAAAAATGTTAGTCTCAATTAATTAGATTTATCATTAATCACCAAAACTAAATTAAGACACTTGAACTTACGCCGCTGGGTCGTCTCCCGCTGCGTCCTCCTCCACTCCCAGCATCTCGCCTCCACATCCACCGCCACCACCGACAAGGGCTCGCTCAATGGCTCCTCGTCGACGGTTGTTGTAGCCTGCAAGTGGCCGAGCTAGACGGCTAAGTCGAGCTGTTCCACTGCGTCGCGCACCGCACGACGTCGCGCACCGCACGACGTCGCGCAGGGCAAGATTGCTAATTCGCGACTAGGCGCGCACACCTCCCTCCGCGTGGATGGACAGGTGGCGCGCGGAGAGGAGGGCCGTGCCGCGCGTGGGATGTTTTTCACTTTTTTTTTCTTTTTTTATTCAGTTTTCTTTGGTTTTTTGGGTTTTTTTTTCTTATTTTGGGTTTTTTTGTTTTTTATACGTACAGATACAAAGTTTATATGCGTGTATAAAAAGTTTGTATACGCTCATACACAAACTTTTGTACGT